AATGACCGCCGGAGATGGAAGCTTCCCGTCGAGTCCCCAACGCCGCTCCTGCTTGCTGGGTCTCCTTGCCATACGTCGTCCTCTCTTTAATTCCCCCGCCTCATATTTCCAGATGCCCGTCTGTTCAGGTTTTCCTGCCACCCTCATTAATGTTAAGCGGAGCTCTGGAAAAAAAAATGAGGGCAGTTACCGGTCGGTCGATGTACTGGCCACCCTCAAAGCTTCTCGATGGGTCCAGATGGGCTGTGTGGGGTGTTTTGGGAATGGCAGCTTCTGGGCTCTGCCAGTAGCTGGCGGAGGGGGGCAGCCCAACTTCCTCATGTGCTCATAGTGAAAGTTCTAGAAAGTCGGACCCTCGCTGCCACTTAGAACCCAAGACGCTTCCATGCCATTCAAATGTTTCACTAGGAGGTGGAAGAAGCCCTGTTGGGTAGCTGATTAGTCTGCGGTGCTGCAGAATTCTGAATGCACATGAACGGTCTGCCGTTCTGCTCACTGATGGCGAATGTTATGGCCTCAGCAAGCCATGGGTCTGACCCTCCCTCTCCAGCTGATCATCAGCCCCCCCTCCCAGCTCTCTGTCAGACACTCCACGTTTCTGCTCCCTCCCAGCCCGCTACCGGGACTCTCCTTTAACCTTCACTGTTTGCCGGGAATCTGATATTTACGTCAGAGGTGAGGTCAGCAGGGTGTGAAGCTCTGTTGCTGGATTCTAGGTCCATCTGTTGCTGGATTCTAGTTCCAGTTCCATCGGCTGCTAACGGGAAACCTTAAAAACTGGCACTTCCTGCTGCCCCTAATAATACATGCTGAAGTGATGGAAAAAAAACATAGATTCTGATTCCATTTGTTATGTTTCCCATGATGTTTCCTGCAATTGAATCACACCCCTGATCACATTTTCCCATGCCTTGTAGCAAACTGCAGCATTTTCCCATGCCTTGCAGCAAACTGCAGCATTTTCCCATGCCTTGCAGCAAACTAGAGGAAAAGTTACAGAATATTAGCCACTTGAATGCAGCTTGCTAATGCATCACAGGCATTGCATTGTGTTCGATGCCGTGCTTTTTTCTGTAGCCCCCCCGCTTAGTGGCCGTGGGGTGGGAGGGTCAATGAGGACCTTCCTGTGCGGGGCGGCTAATTGCATCGCGCACCTGTTACATGGTGGCATTCTTCAAGTGGTAAATGCATTACGGCAAAATGTGGGCTATTAAGCTGGTCATTAGCCACCAGTTGAAGGCATTGTATACTGTTTCAGGCGGGGGAAGTGGGCTGCAACCCTACACTTGTTGGGACGGCATTAGTGATTTGAGGGACGGATAAAAACAGGGTTTTGATGTAAGGACACCACTGCAGAAGATCTGCGAAAAATCAATGACTGCAGCGATTTGCTGCCTGTCTTCTCAGCACAGGCTTGTGAGTTCGATGTTTGGGCATCTCTTCAGACTACTAGATATGTCTTGGCTCTATGGTACAACAACACAGCTCCTGTGGGATTTTAACTCTGTAGCCCTTTCATCACAAGTCAAGTTTCCCTGACCACCATGTGCCCCTTGCTGGGTTTTGTTCATTGACAGGATAATTTAATCTCTAAGCTTTTAAAATGAGAATCCGTCCTCCTGGTTTGGCACGGGACTGTGACTAACACAATAAAGCCATAGCAAATGGTCAAAACATTGAAATGCATGAAGACAGCTTCTGTGAATTTCCCCCCTCATGTGAGCCACAGACCACATAATAAAAATGTAAATAGACAGGTTCGCATTAATTTTCTGCACATAGATTGTATTGTAAGTTTGCTTCTTTCCCTTTTCTGTACTGTGGAAACTGAGGATGTATCACTGACGCCAAACTGCATCACTTTCTCGCATTATGACAAAGAAGCTGTTTCCAGATAAATGGTGCTTCAAGGAGGCATTCGAGAAGTTGTCGCATGAAAGGCGGCGTTCCTGAGAAGGTCGCTTAGCAAAGAGGAAAGCTCAGCAAAACAGGCCGGTCAGCTTCAGTTTGTTCATTTATATTCTCTCCTGTCGCACCGATGTTGGGAACACACGTCTGCTGTCTTGGATAATGACAATGAACCACGGGGGAGTGTAATTTTCTGGGTGCCATTCGCTTTCCCAGAGTTTTTTTGTGTCCAGCGTGAATCTGTGCCTGGCAGCTGCTGATTGGTCAGCATGTATCATTTCCCGGAATGTCCAGTCACAAGCAGTCAGTGGTTTCAGCTCGTGGGCCCATGCTTTGTTCTGCTCCACACTGTTCCTCTGTGCCCCAGAGATGGCTCAAGGAAAACGACTTCCTTAAATCCCTGACTTTGATTTTGTCTTGCACACAGTATGTACGGTATTTATTACATCTACAGAGAGCTGAGCTGCCCAGAATAAGTCTGTGAAGTATCAGAGATGCTGTTATTTATGTAAAATTTTAGCTAACCCTTTATTCCAAGCACCTTAAACAGAGCATTGCCATTAGAGCCTGGTTATTTTATACATCATTTCCCATTACCTGCCATAAAACATGACATACAGGTTTTTGACAGTGTAGTAGCCAGATGTTTTTCTGTTTTTTTTACCACAGCAAGTGAGACCCTGCAATTCTCACTTCTCTGCATGCGTCTTATACCCGTCAATGTGGAGTGAAGCCATTTCTGATCACCTCACACTTTTGTTTTTCTTCTTCTTGTCTGCCAGCGGGAGAAGCACTCTCATTTCCTCGATAAATTTTGATCAACACTGACAGGGTGACATGGGGTCTGCTATAGCTAAACTTGGAAGTATAACGGTGTGGGCTAACGGTGCGAGCTAATGGTGTGGGCTAATGGTGCGAGCTAACGGTGTGGGCTAACAATTCGAGCTAACGGTATGGGCTAACAATGCGAGCTAACGGTGTGGGCTAACAGTGCGAGCTAACGGTGTGGGCTAACAGTGCGAGCTAATGGTGGGCACTGATACTCTGAGATAACGGCACGGATGGATGCTCAGGGAGAGCGGCCTCAGCTGGCATTGTGAGCTAATGATTTGGCCTAAGATTGTGCATTGATTGTGTAGGCCGACATTGTAAATTAATGGTGCAGACCAACATTGTGAGTTAAGGGTATAGGCCAGGAGTGGGCAATCATATCCAGAAAGGGCCGCTGTGTGTGCGGGTTTTCACTGCAACTGCATAATTAGATTGCTAATTAAAGAACTGATTAGCTGAAGAGTCCTCACGTCTGGGTTTGAACAGCTGACCTAAAGGTGATCCCAAAAAACTGCACAAACTCTGGCCCTTTATGGATAAGATAGCTCACAGTGCTAGCCCACACCATAAACTTACAATGTTACCCTATACCAGGGATGGGCAAAGGGTATAAGCTAACATTATAAGCTAATGGAATGGACAAACATTGTAAGCTACGGATATAGGCTAACATTGTTAGATAATGGTACAACCTAACATTGTGAGCTAAGGACTTCAGGCTGACATTGTAAGCTAATGGTGTTGCCTAAAATTGCAAGGTAATGGTTTAGGCTAATATAGTGAGCTAAGCATATAAAATAACAGTTCAAGCTAATGGTGTTGGCTACCCTTATGTGATTATGGTGCAGGCTAACATTATATGCTAATGATGTGCTAACAGTATGAGCTAAGGGTATAGGCTAACATTGTAAGTTAACAGTGTGGGCTAATAGGCCTATTTTGAGTTAAGGGTATACGCTAACATGAGCTAATATGTGCAATAACATCGTAAGCTTATGGGGCAGGCTAATCTGTAAGCCAGTTATTTGGTCTACTGGCATGGGGCGATGGGGCCAGGCTCACAGTACATTGCATCTGCTCTGCTGTCAGGCTTAGTGGGGTAGCGTAACCTGTTAAGCAGCCAGCAAACCAGCTGCATGAATAATATACCACTTACCTGTCCGTCATTCATTCCGTTTGCTGGAGTTGAAGAGCAAAACAATTGTTGCCTTTTTGATTTGTTTGGATAGCATGGCAACAGTTCCATGCTCATGTAACAGACAAAACCACAAGATAAGGAAGTCACATGGGCTGTTACCCTGTGCGTTTTAAACAAATAAACAAAATTGGGTAACGAGGTTCATTTTCTGATAGTGCTGGCAGGACTGATTAAGAACTCGAGCATAGCGAACAGGTGCTTCTGACAGGCTGACAGCGGGTATCCCAGGGTAAGTGACTAATGGGCCCTTTAATTGTAGTTGATGGCCTGGTGGGCAGGTATTGGATCAGCTCGAGTCGTAACAAGAGCTTATCTACATTACGCTCAGCTATTTTTACATAAAGAGACTTGTGCATCATATAGAGTTATGCTCACTCTCTGATCTTTTTCGATTTATCAGGGCTCCATATCGGTAACTTTAAGGGGGAAACTCTGGGAAAGGTATTGTTTGGACATATAAAATATTTGTCGATCTGCCTTGTGAAAGTTATTTTTGGCTTGCTCTTGGTGCACGTTTACACACTCAGCTGCTTTGTTCTCTTCATTTACTGCACAAAGTTGTATTTCAAAGACTAAAATAAATATTGATGTAGTCAATTCCCAGAAGGCCCAATGTTGTTAAGAATTTTTCAGGGCGGATGAATTAGGTCACCAGCCCCTCAGCAGTACACATTCTCAGGTGACTTGATGAGGAAGTGGTTAAAGTTTAACTAGTTAAAATGATTAATTCTCCTGCATGTAGCTCATACTGGTTATTAGCTTCAACCTTTCTGGAAATTCCAGTAGAAACATTTAAAAGGTTATCAAAAAGACGGTTTCAAAAAGATGGTTTCAAAAGACTTTTGACTTTTTTGACTGTTGAACTGTGATGTTCACCATCATATCAAAATTTGCACATTCTGGTAATTATTGTAACCAGCACAAGGTCCCCACTACAGTTAATACTTTGTAACAATTTGGGGGAGAAATCTTGTATCCATTCTGGGATTGACACTTTGGAAGGGAGGGGAGTGGCTTTGAGGGTGAGGGGTGTGGCCTAACCCTGAGGCGACCACCCCCACAGATATGCGTCACCAAGATGTCAGCGCGTGGCTGCCAGGGAACGGACTCGGCGGGTGTCAGGCCGCTGGACCCCATCCCTGAGGACCGGAAGGCGCGGGTGCAGCGCACACAGAGCGGCCTGGATGCCTTCGAGAAGCCCGCCAGCCAGGTGAAGCGCGTTCATTCTGAGAACAACGCCTGCATCAGCGCCACCAAGAGCGCCACCCTGGGGAAGGAATCCCCCAAAGTCCGCAGGCACTCCAGCCCCAGCTCGGTCAGTGAACGCCCCGGCAGTCCAGCCACCCTCACCACACGGATGTGATCTTGATGTTTCAAATTCTTTTATCTAAATTTGCATTCTTTTCTACATTTTATAACCATTAGGCTAAATCGTGTAACTACTAACATTCTCCAAAAACTTTTTGATTAACATTTATTAAAAAATTTTATAATAACGTTTAATTAATTACGTTAATGTTGTTTATTACTCTTTGTATATACAGTGTTTATAAAGTACTTGGCTTTGTCTAAGGCAGACTTATAATTATGATTAATGTTGAAGATACAGTGTAATACTGGGTCCCGGACCATGTGACCGGAGGATGCAATGGGGAAATTATCTGGGAATAAAAAGGTGGAGAGGGACAGGAGCAACAGACTGGTGTTTCGGATTCAGTGCAGGGGAAACAAAGGAATGCAAAACTGACACTGAGTGCCAGAAAGCCAACAATTATGATCAGGGAACGTGGTCTGGGGGTGTGGTCTGGGAACCAAGACACAAAATGGAGCCTATTTTTGTATTATTGACATTTAAGAACCAGCCACAAATAGGGTTTGTCACCTCACTGAACCACCCTGGGCTGTTCGTCCCTCCATGTGCTGTTGCTTTTGTTCTTGCATGAGATAACTTATGTTGCAGCTCCATCTATCCACCTTCCAGCCTTTTATCTAGCACAGAGTCACAATCAATCTGGAGCCTATCTCAGGACGCCCAGGGCAAGAGGCACCCTGGAGAAGATCCCAGTCCATAGCAGGGCTACCTCACTCAAACGCGAACGCATCATGCATTGTAAAGACACTAATGTTTGTAGATGGCTGGAGGTAAACGGAGATGCTCAAGTGATCTGGAGTCGACGTTTGTGTCTGAAACACGCCACGCCGCTGACAGCTCTGCCCTCTCCCGCATTTACACTGCGTATCTCCCACTGGCGTGTTTTTAAGCCGCAGCTGCAGTGTTTGACCCTCGCGACCCTTGGCCTGTGACAGCTGACCGTCACATCACTCACTCTCATGCCGATTCCAATGGAGGCTGTCTTTTTCGATTCTCACGCACTTCGACTTGCAGATGTGCAGTAATTGGAATGCTTTTGCTAATTAATGATTAATTAAACATCTCTTACCAGCAAGATATCTTCAGTCCTGCTGTTATGGCAACAATCATGTTTTCATCAAACTTGTTAGAGGATCATGCCTGGTTGCTCGTCTAATTTAGAATATTAACAAATACTGGTCGTGATTAGTCTATTTGTGTGTGTGTATATATATATAAATGCCTTTCTGTTATGAGAGCCAATGATAATCATTGCTTTCCTTCTCGATCCTTCACGTCTGGCTCAGGTCCTACATGAGTCCCACAGGGGTTCATTAATGCCACGATGGGTTGAATGTATGGACTGAGGGCAGGATTATGCCACTGCAAACAGTCATGATAAATAAATCAGAAAATGCTCCATGCTAATGTGATATGGCAGCTGTTCTTGTGCATTCAGACTATTGTTCTACATTACAGTTGTTATTTTGTGTTTGAACTGTTGTGTGCTTGGATGCGGTTTTGCATTCCGGTTCTTGTGTTGCATTTGGATTGTTGTGAAATTGCACTGTTTTTGTGCGTTTGGATTTAGTCAGGTTCTCTTTGATTTCAGTTTGATTTCATTAGAAGATTTACTTAATGCCATGTTGGATGGTATGACTGGGATGGCCATGCCAGCCCCCGCCCCCTTGAGCCGAAGGCGGCCTCGTCGCCGTGACTTAGACATGTGTGGACAGAACGCGCTGTACTTCCAAGTGAAAGTTTGATCACAGAGGGGTGTTGTCCAAAGCCTGTCAGAAGAGCATTTGCCTGCCAGCTGATTCTCAGCCATGAAAAATGCATGAGGACCCAAATCTCTCAGCATCGCGAAGGGGAAGGGATGTCAGGCAGCCTCAGCAAAAGCCCACCCCGTGCCACCTGGTGGGATTGTGAGAAAAAAACCCAAGTGTGTGTGTGTTTGTGTGTGTGTGTGGGGGGGGGATCAGACACTTACGACAGCTGATTCTGTGATTCTTAGTTTTTATGGTGACAACAGTAAATGTTGAATCCATCGATTAACGACTGTCGTGGAATATGTGTGACAGGCATTATTATTGAAATCACGTGGATACTGATGATTGCAAAGTGAATAAGAGGGTCACTTATAATTGTGCTCAATGTGCATGCAATACATTTCATTTGCAAATTTGGCTAACTTAATATAATGTCTATAAACATTAGTACAGTAATGCTTTCCATGTTTCTTATAGGAAACAAAACCCCTAAGCCACTGGAGTTTTTTATTATAAAGAAAGAAAAGCATGGACACATTCTGTCCAAGCCCAGGTTCACACACCCAAATAACGAATTATTAGAGAGAATTTAATAATTACTAGTGTGTGTTGGACACGAGGGATGGGACGAAGAGCGCATGACGTCATCCGCGTGTGTGGCGTCGTCAGCGCAGTGACTTCATAAGCGGCAGCCGGCCAAGGGCGTCGGGCGGTGAGTGTGAGCCAGTTCGACAGTCTGGTAGTAATTTCTCAAGTTTGACCTTCCTAAAGGCTTTATTGTGCGAACAACGTACTTGTCTGCATGTTACAAGAATTAGTTTTTTTTCTATTGTGTTTTTAACTACAGTATTTAGTTTTTTTAGAAGTATTATTTGGTTCCTTTCTAACAGTCACGATCTGCTTCACTAGCAATCCAAAGTCATCCAAGAAAAGCAATGCATGGAATGTCATTTTAGATAAATAATATCATTGTTGCCACTGTTAAGTCGTTTCACTTTGTTAGTCAAATCACGGCACACGCAACATTTTAAAAATCAATGTAAAGAATCTCTCGCCCCAAACCCCACTTCATTATATAGGCAACGTGAAATTCTCACGGACCGCCGGGTTTCCCGCATGGGAATCCTTGGGGATTTACAGGTGTGGGCGATGCAATCTGGCCAAGCCGTCACCCGCCCTGGACGTTCTTCCTGGGCGGACAGACCGTTATAAACACTTTATAGAGATACTTGGTTAGGGGGAAACGAAGTGAAAATTATTTCCGATTTAGATTTTGTCACTCCTGACGGGTTTCTGGTATTATAATGTATGTATTTTACTTTATGCTAACGTGGTTATTATTATGTAGACATAATATATGTCCTATTTAATGGCACCCCATCGATTAATTATGTAAAACTTCTCTGAATCACGACTGGCAATGCGTGTGATATTGTCATAAGCAGTGGCAGTCTGGTCGTCATATGATTTATGGAAGCTCAAACTCTCTCCTGTTATACACGAAGGCGTTCTTAAATATCCTCCATAAGCCACCCCGTTTTCGTGCTGCTATCACGGCAGTGTAGTAACTGGCGAGCCCCGGCAGATGATCTCTCAGTACATCCCTAACAGCATATATGTTTATGAGTCGGGATTTATTAGCTATTTATTAGTTGGAAAGATGTGGTCCTGGGGAAAAAAAATAAGAACTCGGTAGAAATATGCATTTGTGGTATTTAAAAGTTAGCGATCGCTGTATAGTGTCTCGTTGGTTCTCTTTTTTTTTGCATGAGGTCCCATCTGTTCACAGCCACTCACCCACTGACGTAGGAGGACGTTCAGCGCTCGGGGCGCCGTCCAGAATTCATCCCAGAAGTGCTTTTTCTCCATGATTTCAGAAACTTTAAAGGGCCACGCAGTGAAACGATTAACTGTCTGTATTTGGCTAAAGCAGATGTGATTCTGCTGTTCCGCCCACGTACCAGCAGCGCTTAGGACCGATCGATAGAGAGAATGCAGATCATCGCTACATGTGAAGCGACCACCGAAGGAGGAAATGCCTTGTGGATTTATTTTAATTAAAGAAATGACCAAATAAAGTTAATATGCAGTTGCAGATATCCTTCCATTCATTCATCCAACTTCCAACCATTGATCCAAAACACGGTGGTAATATTCCGCAGGATAGTTTTACCCATTTTGTCACATATCCCGCTCAGGGTCACAGCTGCAGGAGTTCGTCCTGGATAGGGTACCATTCTCTTGCAGGATACGTGCCTACACGCTACATTTTAGAGATACTAGTTGGCGTAAATGCGTGTTTTGGATTGTGACAGATAACCACCATAACCTGGGGAACTTACAAACTCCAGACACGCAGTGGTGGGATTCAAATGCCAAATCTTGGAGGCGCGAATAAAGTAATTGTTAAATAAAATTATTAGACCACTGCATTTATATTTATTTAAAAATAACATTAAAGAGCTTTCAGGAAAGGGTGTAGGTTTGGTTTCGATATTGAAAGGGACCCAATCAGCCACGAACACCGCCCCACACACACACACACACACACACACACACACAGACGGTGCGCTACATCCACGATATAATAGTAGGAAGCTGTCCCTACTGTCCATACACAAATGTACGCCCTTGGTTGCAGATTGAAAATCGTCACTGAATTAAGATGGTTTATGGATTAATTTAGGAAGGTATCTGAAGGCGAACTCGGCGGAATAGTCGGGGGGCAGTGCGCGTGCGTGCGGCACGAGCCGCTTCTCCGCTCGCCTTCCTGGGGATCGCTAATGTAATGAGCGTGAGCTCGACACTGTAATTGTGTACTCCTCTGCACTTTCTCTTTTAAGGCACTGTAGTACAAAATGGTCTGTTGTTGTCAGCCTTACTGTTTTTCCCTTCTGTAATACTATTTAACTTTGCTTGTGTTACCGACGGCTCCATAATCCTTTCTCGGTTGCTGTTACCTCGGCGTTGACTATGGCACCACATTGTGACTGATTCACAGAGAAAATAAGTTCAGTAACCTCACCAGCATGCCCGCAGCAATCAGGGGATTGTTTTCCCTGTCTGTCCTCTTTTTTTTTGTGCAGTAGCATTTCAAAACAATCCGAGGTGGAGATACAGATGCACGCTTCGTTGGGTATCACTGTAGTTACCGAGGTGGTAAATACTGTATACCCGTAAGCGGGCATTCACGACGTTCCACGCCGTTGCCCCTCACTAAGGGTCGTGGTGAGGAGTAGGGGCTTGTCTTAGAGGTGATGTAAAAGCCTCAGTGCCACTTATGGGAAGCAGTGATGGGGATCGTTGGAAATGATATGCTGGTAGGATGCGCATAATCCTCTGTGACCACCCCCCACCCCCCCACCCTTAACATAAAGTCAGTCCATTCAGTTTTGCAAAAACATCAAAGCCCTGTCATTTTCTGTGCTACTTTGAACACTTTTTTATTGTTCTTTAATTTGCTCCTTTCCAGATTCTTTTCCATCACTGCTCTCCCCCCCAGAGGTACAACAGTGTTGCCCCCCTGCTGGGACTGGAATAACTTCACCTCCTTATCTGCTTTGCCACCTGCTGTGACCTTCCCCTCCTGTAGGGGGTGCACTCACATGTCTCACTTGGTCTGTTCTTTTTTTAGCCCACGAGTCCTAAGTTTGGGAAGGCCGACTCCTACGAGAAGCTTGAGAAGTTGGGAGAAGGTTCATATGCCACGGTTTACAAAGGGAAGAGCAAGTGAGTTTGCCCTGTCTGTTGATCCCTTAGGTTTAAGCCCCAGGCCATAATTACACCCCAAACTTAAACCTCTGTGATTAACAGCAGACATAAATCTCTGTGCATGTTCAAAGCATTGCATTGCATACCAAAATGATACTGCTTCCTGTTCCTAAGAAGTAACTGATTAGCTGAGGCACCTGACCAACTGTAATGATACTGGCAGGTTTGTGCCACTGTGTTTGTTTGTGTGCATCTGCTTGTGTGAGTGTGAGGTTTATCTGTACAAATCTGCACGTCTATAGGAAATCTGTATGCATGCTCTCATCTCGATGTGTTTACATGGATTATGAATTTTGCACGTTTTTAAAATGTACTATTATTTAGATGAGACAGACAGTAACTGGCATTAATAATGAAATGAAAGCAACAGTATTTAATAATTACTTTGAATGCTTTCAATGGAATAGCATTTGAAGAGTGAACTTAAGATTTATGGCAATGCTAAACTGCTCTAATGCTCTTTGTGCAGCAGAACATGAAAGCCAAGTCATTGCATTAAACATTAAATTTTAATAATGTGATTGTTTAAGGATATTTATAAAAACGCTTTGCAGTTTTATTGCCCTTAATGGAATTGTTTTTATTTGATCTCTTTCTGAAGAGAGGCCCACCACACAAGCTGTGACTGGGCTCTGGAAATTAATGTCTGGAAAAATAAGTATTGTGTGAATATGAAACAGAGTGAAAAATATCAATGTGATGTTTTATTATAATGAACCTGCATCTTTTTCACGAGTGAAAACCGTTTAATGTTCTGTCAGTACAGATTTGATTAGTGGCCTTTGTTTTATTTAAGATTCTTTTCACGGAATATATGTCTCACCCCAGTGGTCTCAAATATCACTTTTAATCCAGCAATGAAAAAAAAACACTCATTCTCACCATCAACGTTAATTAGTTTGTTTTATTCCTTATTTTAACTTGCCTCGATGCGCACAGGGTGAATGGCAAGCTGGTCGCTCTCAAAGTCATACGGCTGCAGGAAGAGGAAGGGGCACCGTTCACTGCCATCAGGGAAGGTACGTCACACCTAACAGACCGTGTCCCCGAGTCAGAAGTGTCCCACTGCTGACATGTTGTTTTCACGCAAGGTTGGGATTTTCCTTATATTTACATAACAACCATAATCGTGGATGCCAGTCTCAAAGCAATTTTAAAGAGAATAAGAATAAAACTTAGAAATAAGTTTTACTTCCAACACTCAATGCACATGATTTTAATTTTTACATTTATAAACATTGTGAAAACGGCTTGTTTTTTTGTTTTTTTTTAAGTATTTTTTGTTCGTGACTGTTGTGGATTGTCTCTTGTTTTGTCTGTTATGCCCTTCCGGCCAAGTTCCTTAATTACTATGCCACCTGGTGGTTGATTATTTTAGAGAAGCAGCCCAGTGCTGGTTTAGCACACCAGCTGTTTGTTATGTTATATATGCTTCCTTACGTAGGTACATTTGAATTTGTGTAAGTACATTTGCCAAATAAGCATCTAAGTGTGTTTGTTTGTCATGGTTTTAGTGTTTTACAGTGGGGAATGCTGGTAAGTCAGCCATGGATCTTGGCGGCTCAGCGCAATCTTATTGTGGATTGACTAGCCTTGTGAAATTGAACTTAAGTTGTTAAATGGGACTGAATCTAGCCAAGCACAATGAGATTCCAGCCGTGTGGTGTTTGATGATTATGCAGACGGCTGCGTTCCTTCAGTCTGGACTCCCCTGGATGGCTTTAACAACGCACATTAAAGGAACAATGAGGCGTGATGGAAAACGTCCCTCCCCCTCTCTCCTGCACGGTTGTAATTGTCTTAGCCGCGGAGCGCCCTCGGAAGGATCTCGGACCGTCCAAATTAATCGCATCCCCCACGGCCGGAAAATCCCCCCTTGCCACTCGCAATAAGCGTGGTTTTCTTTGTTAGGCTCCGATGCCTGTGGTGTAATTGTGGGACCCAGCATCTGATTGTAACCTCGCACGCGGCCCTTTGGGGCGGCTAGGCCGCGGCCTGGGCGTCACGGGGGACGTTCGGAAACAACAGCTGAGTAATTGCGATTTTTACGGACAACGTGTTACGTGTATAATGGAGGAAAAGCTTAGACCATGCAGGTGGGCAAAAGAAATAGGCAGGAAAAATAGATTTTTCAGCGAGGGTGGTACGATTCACGGACGACTAGCTCTATCCCTCCCTCCTTCCTTGCGGAGATCGATGTCTGGCGTGTGTGAAATAGGCATCTCTTTCCGTTTTCCTGTTCTCCGTCTTTCCAATTTGCCTGCCAGATCGCTTTAGTATTCTCCTCTCGACCTGGGCTCCCCCTACTCCTGCCTGGCCTCTACAAGCGGGGTTCTTTGCCCGTTTGAGGTTAATAACTCACCCATACCTTCACGCCACTTCTGCCTGACGTGTAACAGAGACCCAAACAGGAGGCCGAGGTTTATTAACATCAGAGTTACCAGGTCCACGGCTTTCCCACCCAGTTGGGCCATTTTGAAAATACAGTTGCGGTTGAATATTAGGAGGTCGCAGGTTTCTGGGCCAATTTCATATTGTTCCATGGTAGTGGGCTGTAAGGGGAAAAAGAAATGAATTATTATGACTGCAAGAGGCTCCTCATGTTGAGTTAAACTGGATTTCTAGACACCAAAAGTCGGAGACAGATGCACACGGAAAGCAGGGCTGCCAACTCTCACGCATCTGGCGTGACACTCATGCTTTCAGACCCATGCAAGCCATCTTATGGCAAATATATATGCCTAATATTTCATCCATCCATGTATCCATCACTGTAACTGCTTAATCCCAACTGGGAGCCTATTCTGGGAACAGGCAGGAACCAACACACCACAGGGTGCACACACCTACATCTCCACTCAAACACAGTTATGGGGCCAACTTAGAACTGCCAGTCAACCTACTGTACGCACCTTTGGACTGTGGGAGGAAATTAGAGCCCCTGGTGGAAACCCATGTGAACAGAGGGCGATCATGCGACTTCCACACAGAAAGGCCCTACACCCAACCCTACACCCAACCCAGGGACCCAACCCAGGACCTTCCTGCTGTGAGACAGCAGTGTTAACCACTGTGCCGCCCACTATTATTCCCTTATGAACCTAAAATTAGCTACATCAGAAGTGTTGGGGTAGTTTGCAAACCCCACAGACTATTTACAAGCTAATAAAACTGTTACATACATGTAAATGCATGTGCAGACTTATCTTGAATTGAAAATCTCACTCCAGCCAGCTGACCAAAGTTGGCAACCCAGGGAAAAGAGAGTCCGTCTTTGTGATGTTTTCAAATGTTGAAAATTTGAATGTTATCAGCATGCAAAATACTGGTTTATGTCTTTGAAATACAGTATACTGAGATTTCAGATACTGGGCTAGTTTCAGCTAAGGTTAATACTAGTTACCAAATTGCCCACAGGTGTGCGTGTGTGAGTAAATGGTGTGTTAGTGTGCCCTGTGGTAGGTTGGTGCCCTATCCTGGGTTGTTCCCTTCCTTGTGGTCATAGGCTTTGGACCCCTGAATAGGACAAGCAGGTGCAGAAAATGGATGGATGGATTGATAAATGTTCATATGCACACAAAATTTGTCTCTGGTTGTCCATGGCTTCCATGATAACAGGAGATACATACTTAAGACAAACCAGTGGTTCCTGCTCCGGTTGATGTATACATGTGGTTGATATAATTGTAGGCCGGCATATAGTCATTTCAGCATCCGAGACCTTTTATCTTTTCTTTTTTCGTCCCACAAGGGGAAATTATGTTTAGGGTTAATGGTTTGTTTTCACACAAGGCCTAGAATTTCCAAGTGTCCTTGGCGATGGTTTGATTGCTAATATTGCAGCACACTGTTTAACCGCAAATAATGAAGAGTTCTGGTTTGATTTTGGTTTTGAATACATACACTATGCACAGAATCCTTGAATATGTCGACTTGGGAAGAATAGCTGCTCATCTTGTGCTACCTGGAACTTGTGACCTGTAGGCCAAGTTCCTCAACCACTGCGCCACCTGCTGCCAGAATTATTGTGTTTGTTTTTTTTTCTCTCCCCCACAGCGTCCCTCCTGAAGGGCTTGAAGCACGCAAACATCGTACTGCTGCATGACATCATCCACACCAAGGAGACTCTGACGCTGGTCTTCGAGTATGTGGTACGTGGGAGCGGCCGTTAGTCCCGTTGGTTAAGTAAACAGAGGAGAAGGGCTGTTTGTGCTGTGTCATTCATCAATGGAAAACGGATAACTTAATACCAATGTGAAGCAGTCTGCACTTTAACATGCTTTAGGCAATAATTACAGGAAGGGGTTCTGGGTTTTTTTTAGCTTGAAATTCAATTAAAGTGTCATGATGGAAAAAAAATCCAGCAAGTGAGACCACTTTGTGGCTGTACTGGTCGGCCTCTTGAATCTCTCTCTGCTTAGGGAGGAAACCATCTCTGGTCGCTTTAGGCAAATTTAAGATATTTTTGTTTCTGTGTGTTTGTAATTTTTTAAGCTTGTAAAATGTCGGAAAACCTTCGGGGAATGTTTATTTTTTCCGGAACTCCGGGTTCCCCTCTGGGCCTTGTCCTCCTCGGGATGGGGTGACTCTGAAATGAGATGCATGTGTCCTGCTTGTCAAACATGGGGAGATGGCTGGTTTACAGAAAATACTGAAAATCTGAATGTGTGAACTAGCAAGATTCTCAATCTAAACTCTGAAGGATGTTCATTCAGAGAGGGCTGTTGCTAGAATATGTGTTTAGCCGTTAGGTGCAGAGGGCCTGACCCACTGGGATACCTTATTAAGATGCCCAGCAGTGTTGGTGCATTTGAAGGAGGGGCCGTTGCTACCCCCAGCCCCAAAAGAAGATCCAGAGGTTATAGCAGCAGAGAGCGTGAAGGAACATGGGAGTTGGTAAAGGGATTCCCGATGGAGCCTGGGTTCGATTGTGAGGAATCTACGCTGGGGCGTATGGCGACATGGGCTATATGGGTACACACACACACCCCCCCGGTCGATTTCCAGGCTTTAGCGGCCGGACTGCAAGCCCCCCCATGGCGTGTGCTGAAATCCCATCGTCCTCTCTCTCTCAGATGTTTTCCTGTCACGTAACGATAGCTCCCACTAAGATAATCAATTCCACACAGTGGCTGGTGGTTAATAATGACAGACAGTGAGAGGTGGTGGGGCGAGATGGAGAGAGCGGGGGGTGAAAGAGGAGGGAAAGAGATGTGGAATGGGGAAGAGTGCCGGTTCAGCGCAGATTTAAGTAAGACGGACAGCCGGTCTGCAGTGAATTATTCATTATACAAACACGATTGTCAGCTGGAAGGCAACAGTGGTCACGGATGAGCAACTGCAACATCCAAAGACGCAGGTTTTGTGCTGGGAAGCGAGTGAAATGGGGTGATTCCCTTTCTGTCCGTACGCGGCGGTCACACAGAATCCCCACCCGGTCCTCTGGCCTTTTCTGCAAGGGGACTCGAGGCAGAGGCTTTTTCCTGAGTGAATGGGGCAGATTCGCAGGAACAGCTTGGAAAGACCTGAGCAAAAATACCTACACCAATGGAATTTTGTTGTGAGAATTTGTTGGATCAGACCATCGATTTTTGATTGGTTCTCTAAAATGAGCTCATTAACATTAATGCGGCAGGAGGTGAGTCATGAATAATGCATTGCCTCTTCTAACCCATCAATATGATCCCTCTTCCACATAAACCTGATTAATTGAGTTATGCTTGTCAGCATGTTAGCTACACCTATGCGAAAAAGTAGTTTCCCAGAGCATCTCTCCTCCCAGCTGATTTGGGGCGACCCAGTCCCGGAATAATAATGACGAGAAATTAAGATGCGGGGAAAAAATGTATGGGATTGATTTTTGGGGCTTTTGTTTTTTATTATTATTTACAAAACAGCATTTTTATCAAGCTTTTTATCTACATTTCACACAGTGATTTTACCCAGCCACTTCAGCAGGGAGTGCAGCTGTTAATTAGCAGGGCTGATAATTAAAGGGTAGCTGTGAAACCTTCATGGCCGACTCCATCAATCACTGAGATTACAAGGACAGTTGGGGTGGCGGGGGGGGGGACTGAGTATGTCTGCCTGGAGTACTTTGTTATGGTCTGCAGCTAATTCAAAGGTCCAATAGCTGTTCCAGCAGACACCCTGCTTACCGCTGCCCCCTGGTGGCTGGTTGGCAGTGATGCCCTTTTCTGTCTCCACCAGCACACCGACCTGTGCCAGTACATGGACAAGCACCCAGGGGGTCTCCATCCAGACAACGTGAAGGTAAGCGTTTGTGTGTGTGGGAGGGGCATCCATCCAAAGTGGTGGCAGGTTTTGGGGGGGGGGTGGGGGGGGGACATCGGTAGGGATTTCCATCTATAAATTATGGCAGACAGGTCATCATCCAGACAGATATAAGGGGTAAATCATTTCTCTTTTTCCGTTTGAGTCGTTGATCTCTTTCTGTTCATCCTCTACATTTACCTCTTTGTTCGGTTTAAGCTAAATATTCAGCTTGCTGGAATTCCTCCTTTTATTTAACACTGTAGTGCAGTAACCTACCCTCTGGTGTAATGAGCGCCTATCTCTAGCTGGTGATGTCACCCTGGAGTTCCGGCTGCTTCCCAATGCATCCATGCTCGTGTCCCGGCTTCTGTGAGTCATCAGATATGTCACATTCCCACCTGAAGAGGTCTGGGCATCTGGCAGGAAAACCGCTTAAAACGTTTTGAAAACCTACTGTTTGTGCATCTCACCCAAGGGTCCAAGACTTGCACATCTCCCCCCCCTCGCTTCCTGGGCTTTGCAGCCTACCTCCCAGTTTTGCAAGAAGCGAGCAGGAAATGACACGTGTGGTTGGCGCTGGGAAAGAGGGTGCGAGTAAAGAGCAGCCTGAGAATGAGCCCCGGAGATGAGGGGCAGATTGCAGGCCAGCTGGTTATATAACCTGTCCCACCCCTCATCATGTCTGCAGACGACAGCGCCTTTGAATTCCGGATGAATAATTTAGGATTAAAAAAAAGCACATTGCTCTGGGAAATGCAGTGTGTGTGTGTGTGTGTGCGTGTGTGCGTGTGTGTGTGTGTGTGCGTGTGTGCGTGTGAATGAAAAACCTTATCAGTCATACTGACGCAGTGTCTGTTACTTGCACGGAAAACGTGGCATGAAAAATAATGCTGAAGCCTCACGAGAGACGAATTGGGTCACCGTACAAATGGAGCGGCAGAGAAGAGCACAGCGGTAGGCTGAGGAAACTGTAAACAGGCAGCAGGGACTGAGGGGGGGGGGTTGGAGAGAGAGCCGAAGGTGGGCCGGCAGTGGAACTGACACAGGTGACATGAGGGCCATCTTCACTGTTAGGTTAATACAGCGAAAAACGGGTTTGCAGGGGCCTCGTTGGGGTTTAAAATGCAGGTGAGATAGAGTGAAGTTCAAGTAAATCATGTAAGTGCTCTAGTAGTTATTCAGTTTGAACTCGGATGTAAGGATTTCCGAGTTCCAAGTGGAGAACTTCAACTGGAATGTTCCCTGAAGTCGGAATTCCGACTCAGGAAGTTGGAGGATCTTCTGCAACGGCACCTTTCAAAATCCATGATGGCTGCGGCCTTTATCAGCAGAAGATAAAGCTGTGTTATATGCTGTTTATTAGCACTTAGGTCTTATTTGTATCGCATTAAATCAGTTGTACACACGGTACTGTTCAACCACTGTCTGTGGACTTGCTGTTACGGTTGTAGACACAAAATACTGTGCTATGGTTTGTTATCAACCGGTATCGTTTACAATGGCTAACAATGGACCCGACTAGAATTGGTATTACTAAATGACATTCTGACTTGTTTTAAAGGAACACAGTTAACTTGGGTGTGATGTCATCCCCAATTCTGACGTCCTGACCTCCCAAGGTAGAAGGAAGGCAGCTTAATTCAGACGGACGTGGTCTGAAACCTGGGCGTCATACTTTCATGAGCTACATCTCAGTTAAGACCAATACAGATGCAGATTTAAGGTACGCATGCAGAGAGTACTGGTAGTTTGTCCAGAGATCATCACCAGGAGAAGATGCATGGATAGATGTACTGTATTTAAAATGATTTTATTTTTCACATTTAAAATCCTTATTTTGAGTATTTGAGTACAAGTAGGACATGCAGGCCGCCTCTGTCTCTGAAACAGACGAAGACAAAGAGCCTGTTTCTGACCTCCATCTTCTCTTAATCCTTCGTGTCACTGGCTCCCCTGCTCCAGGAGGGCGTACGTGTGCGGCGAGGCCGTGCGGCGTAAAATCAATGCCATGCAGCCAGGCGTAAAGCTCGCCGACAGATGCGCGGCTCTCTGGGGGAATTCCCCACACAGGACAGCTCAAAATGCAAAACAAAAAGCACAGAATTGCACAGTGTCTGCACTGATGCATTAGCAGGTTAGAGAGGAGGTTGGTGTGCTTTTTGATGGCGGTGGAACCTATTTCTCTGAATCGGATACAATTTCAATGTTTACCCCCCACCCCAGCCCAGGACACTTCCTTCCTGAATCTTGTAGTGGAAGCCCCACTCTTATGAAAGGTTATGAAGTGGCCTGGTTGCAGGCACTCTTGTTCCCGCCAGGAGTCCCAAGTGGTCTGAGGCTTACATTTCCTCATTAGCCCCCCTCACCCGGCGCTCCGCCATCGGTAACTCAAAGGCTCGCGCCAGTCTTCAGGCTCTCATGGGGGAGACTGAGCGTTAATCAGCCCCTTTCACCCGTGACTGCTGGTCCTCTGAGATCCACGGTTCTTCACTTCTCATTTCTCAAAGGTATAAGAGCAATGTCCTTCCCCAAATCTCTCTCCTTCAAATTTTTCTTGCCAGTCTCCTCCCGGTTACTTTTTTGTGATTTAATTCTTGCGCATTGCACTGCTCCAGGACAGCTTCCCGTCAAAACAGCAGGTCCGTCTGACCCCCAGCAGATCAGACATTGACTGATGTATAAACATTTTGCAACCTAAGCAGTGGATTAATTGTTTGGTGACAGAGCGACCCTGCAGGAAAGATAGCTTAATTGTCATCGATGCCCCCTGATTTAACATCAGCTTCAGCCACAACAAAGAGGCTGATAGCTAGTTTTTGCTGACTCTCGACTTTAGGCACGGTCAGTAACCGGGCAGAAGGGTTAGGGTGCATTTGTGGAGGGCGTAACACGGGGAGGAAAATATGCGCTGATTGTACTGGGGTATTATGGGTTTGCTGATAATCCCCTCACCGAGATGCAGGTGAACTGCAAGACTGAGAATGCCTCAAGGTTGGTCGGGGTTCAGTGGCCTTTCGAGCCCCTTTAGACATTACCCAGATGGGCTATATGTGTGAACGCCAATGTCCACATTAGTTGTGCCGGACCTTAAACAAACTTTTCCCTGCTAGATCCCTAGCAGAAAGTCAGTAATTTCTGATTGAACCCCTTGTAGGAATAGACCAGGGGGAGTTCTGGTGTGTTGATGACATCTGAGAGCAAAGAAAGGTCATTTACAGAAAGAAGACCCCAACGGACATGGGCCATCTCGAGATTCGGGAACTTCTCTCAGTGGTGTCGTAAAATGCAGTGCTATCGTAAAATCCAGTGGTATCGTAAAATCCAGTGGTGTCATGTCCCACGTCCTGCCCGCTATACCCAAGCACCACCCGGGGTTTTTTGTAGGTGTGAACACATCTGACACGGATAATCTCCAGTTGTGTGTCACACGTGTGAAAGGGCAACTACGGAAGAAATCCACACCTGATTTTCTGGACGATGTCCGTAGTTCATGTGTGAAAACAGCTTCAGTCAGAGGGGTGTTTCTGTCACCCCCCATGGGGACCAGTGAGGCAGCACTGGGTTCGCATGCATTTTGGCCAAATTTTGGGAGACTCACAGACAAGAAGGGACCTCTTTACTCTTCCATACCGAGCACATCCACCATAACGGTGCCTACTCTTCCCTGCATGTATGTATGTTTATATGAACTGTTATAATCATAATAAAATCCACTGGCTTATCTCAGGACCCCCTCAAGTGTGAAATTAACTTTTAAAACTTCACATTTAAAATGTCCTCATCGCTGTCTGTTTTCGGAGATTCTTTTCAAGCGAAGATACGGTTTGCAAAAGCACACTCCCTGTGACATCGCTCCACAACATTAACTGTGAATGCAGAATCGAGCGCGGAGAGCGTACATGGGCGATTAGTGGAAGCCTCCCCTCGGAGATAAAGGGCCTCTGTAATCCGACGCAAAGCAAAACAGGACAGCTGAAGCTTAGCAGCCTTAATGATGGGCAGAGGTATTTCTTTACCGCACTTTCCGATGTCGTCGATGGTTTAAAACACATCAGACATACATAACGAACACCTATCTCGGCCCACGTTGTTTCCAGGTGTCTCCTGCTGACTGGTGGCCACGAACGTTAGGGTGTTCAGTTCACCCAAATCACAGACTTTGGTTCAGTCCTCCCAACTCCAACGTGTTCTGGAGTGCTTATTGCTAACTGGTCCATTCCCCCTTGCAGAACTTCACCCTCCAATGCAAACCAGTTGTCGGTTCTTTAATTCTGGGAGCCCTGCCTTTGTCCTCAGGCTGATGGTGTTGTCCAGTGCCAGATGGGCTTTGGTCACTGGTTATTATATTTGGGGAAAGGCTGCTTCTCCTAGCAGATGTCGGGTCTGTCTGGGAGCCAGCAGTGCTTTCGGTAATGGGGCCTGACCCACACGTGGCTGATCGCATCGCTCGCAGGGCGATCAGACTCCCCTGGTGCGTTTTGAGCTAATGTCTTACGCACCCGTATGATAATTTTAATACAGATATTTCAATCGATGAAAGACTCGCATAAGGCTCACAGATGGAATATCACAGAGAGCCATTAGCTGGGAAGCAAATTGTCTTTGCGGTAGAATCTGGGTAGTGAATCCTTTGCATTCAACAGGAGGTACTCATCCGCTATTAATCAGGCCGCCGCGTTTTCGTGCTGTGCTACAATTTGGGTTCCTGCTCAGCTCTTGAACTGAGTTTTCTTTGGGGCTGCAGCCTGGTTTTTGTGTCCATCAGTTCTCAATGAAAAATACATCCCGAGCAATGGAGTTTTGGGCAAGTTGCAACTATTGAAGGATCCTCCCATGATGCAGGCAGTGCGGACGGGAAAGGATGTGGCTGGCTGCCCTCCTGTGATTGTCTGTAGGCGCAGGCTTTTATGCAGATTCATATTGTCATTTATGCTTTCGTTACCTTTGCTCACACTCGTTATATTAACCCTTTGGCTGAATTTACAAAGTGCCAGTCAGGTGACCTCATGGACTCCACCCCATTAGGCGGTGCTAAACTCTGATTGGATTTGGAAGGCGGTGCTAAGCTCTGATTGGATTTGGAAGGCGGTGCTAAGCTCTGATTGGATTTGGAAGGCGGTGCTAAGGTCTGATTGGATTTGGAAGGATTTTACTTTAGCTCAGTGTTTCCCAGTTCGATCCTCGGGGACACACAGACAGTCTACATTTTAGCTCCTACTGGGACCTGGGAAGGAGCAAAAATGTGGACTGTCTGCCAAGGAACTGGGAGAGAGCATAAAACATGGACTGACCGTGGGTCTCTGGGAACCAGACTGAGAAACGCAGATTTAGCCTAATTGGCAGAACCCTTGATAATCCTCACAGGCGTGATAAGGGTGTAGTAAGATTTAAATTTTGAGGAAGAGCTACTGAACTAGGGGATATTTATAAGTGCATAGGGTGTCTTATAAGGAATTAAAGGCGAAAGGCGCAGATGTGATTTCATATCAAACACACCAAATGCCAGCTCATGACACATCTGGGAAATGCATGGTTGTAATAATGTGTCACTTTCCATTTGTGGCTGCATGATTGGGTTCCTCAATGATCGCTTCTGACCAATCCCAGGAAAGGAGTCCCTACATGAGGGGGGAGTGCATTACCTGACAAGATGCCTGTCTGGGTGCACGGTGTGGTTTATGACGCCCCGGTGTAGCTGTTTAATTACCCGGTCTCGTGTGTGTTTCCTAATTCTCATTGGCTGGCTTTCTCTCACCGCCCCTCCCCAGCTCTTCCTGTTTCAGCTGCTGCGCGGCCTGTCCTACATCCACCAGCGATACATCCTGCACCGAGACCTGAAGCCCCAGAACCTGCTCATCAGCGACACCGGCGAGCTGAAGCTGGCTGATTTCGGTAAGCCCCGCCCACCGCACGACACGTCCGTCCGTCAAACATCTGCAGCTGTGGGTTGGTCAGTGGGAAGGCCTCACGCTGCGTTTCCTCTGAGGTTGGAAGTTGAAGCTGGGAATGATGTCTCACCCGAGTGAACCACATTCCAGTACAGCAAGTCGGAAAGCCATTTAGCAATACCAGAGACCTGTTTCAAAGAGCAGGGTTTCTTGCTTAGCCAGATAACTTGTCATATTTACGTAAGTGCTAATAAACAGTATAAAACTACAACCTTAACTTTCATTGATAAAGGGAGCAGCCATCTTGATTTCTGAGGTAGGGGTTGTGTAGATTTGCCCAACTTTCTGAGTAGGAATTCGGACTTCAGGGGGCGTTCCAGATGAAATTCCTGACTAGGAACTCTGAATTTCTGAGTTAGGAGTTCAAATGAAACACATCTTCAGCCTCAGTCTACCAATGGTGATGACACACATTGACCCTGTGGGATTCATCCATCATCAGTACTCTCGGTGTTCCCGTTTAATTAGCAGCAAAGACAATAGTAATAATTGTAATATAATAACATGATATGAAGGGTGTGCGGGGGCATACAGGCAGCCAATCATGTACTTCCAGTCAAAGTGGCTGTCGGATCCAGTTATTACGCGGGGAAAGCATGAAGTACCAGTCCTTTGAGTGATTATATAATACGTTTAGTATTATTATTACATTTTAACCGGCAGGCATCGATTTCTTTGTATCACAGCGTAGTTCACGTTTGAAGGTTTTCTGTCTGGAAAATGGGCAGAATCTTTTGCAGTGGCAGTGAGTCGAGGTTTTACTATGATATGTGTGTAGATCCTGTTGCTCGATTGTGCTTGATAGTGTTTTTCCAGTAATAATATCTGCTGGGATCCCCTGGATGGTAATCTGAGCATGACCAAGGTCAGAGAGGCCGGGGTGCGGATATCCAGCCTCATGCGACCCTGTGTGCCAGAATTAATTTAACAGGTTTTTGCTGACTTAGTTTTCTGTCTTCCTGTGTGCGTGTGTGTGTGTGTGTGTGTGTGTGTGTGTGTGCGTGTGCCAGGCTATCTGTGTAGCCCTGTGTGTTTGGGGGTGTCTTTATGTGTGTGTGTGTGTGTGTGTGTGTGTGTGTGTGTGTGCGTGCGTGTGCCAGGCTATCTGTGTAGCTCTGTGTGTTTGGGGGTGTCTGTGTGTGTGTGTGTGTGTGTGCGTGTGCCAGGCTATCTGTGTAGCCCTGTGTGTTTGGGGGTGTCTTTATGTGTGTGTGTGTGTGTGTGTGTGTGTGTGTGT